TACTGGGGATGAAAAAGATATGAAAAAAAATTGAGAGTATACTGGGTAAGGGACACAAAGTATAATTACGATTTGTAATAATGAATATGCAAATAATATTGATTGAATCATCACATGTTGTACACAGGTGATGGTAGTCAATGCTGTGCACCAAGAAGATATATAATTAATTATGCTTCAATAAAGAAATATGAAAAAAAGAATTCAATGCCTCTTTTACATCTTAAATGATTAACAATAGATGACATTTCCAACCTTTCTTTCATTTCCCACCTGCTCTTTTCCATGACTCCATGCATACAGCAACAAGCAGAGAGATCAGGATATACATTTTGAAATTGATCTTTTTTTCAGCACATTTACTCGCTCTTATCTCTTGTAACTTGGGAGCTAGGAAACATAGGGAAATGGGACTTCTGAGAAAGACCAGGTTCTAGCAAAATGAAATCTGATATGGCCTTTTGATCTTGCCCTGAGAAATCCATCTGGCAAGAAAATTTTGTGATTAAAGGCTTCTTAAGTTTCTTTTTTTTTTTTTTTTTCCTTTTTTTTTTTTTTTTTTTTCCAAAAGATGACCAGTGAGGGGATCTTAACCCTTGACTTGGTGTTATCAGCACCACATGCTCCCAAGTGAGCCACGGGCTGGCCCTTGTAGAGAGTTTCTTGGAGGAAAATGAAGGAGAACACCTGTTCTAATCTCAAATGAAGAATGTGCAAAAAATTCCATTTCAGAGGAATGACCTCAGGACTCCTAAATGTTCCAGTCAAAGGCCCTTTCCACCATGATATTTCTGCTTTCCTTGAACAGAAATTCTGTATGACCATAAAACCTTGAAGATGCACAGATATAGGTTAATGAACAGGTCACCTAAAAATAAAAAATAAAATTACTAAAATAATGAACAGAAATATATGTGATCCCAGGAAATATAACCTCCAGCCAACCCTTCTTACATAACTGCTGTGTAACCCTTTTTAATCAAGAACCAAAAAACAAAAGCAATAAAATAACAACTTGAAAATCAATAAAATAAAAACTTCTACATCAACAAATCTTAAACCTTCTAAATGGCAAATAACACCAAAAACAAAGTTTGAAGTCAAGTAATTAAAATATTTACATTACCTTACAAAGGATTAATATGAAGAGCATAGAATTAACTAGAAACTAGAAAGAACTCCTAAAAATCATTAACAGAAAAGGTAAATTTAAAAATTGTAAAAAACTTATTAAAATGTATTAATAAATAAATTATAACAAAGGAAAGACAAACGGCCAATAAATACATAGGATGCTTACCTTGCTAGTAATCAGAAAAAATAATAATACAAGAACAAAATTACATCAGGTTGTCAAAAACGGAACAGTTGGACAATAGTCAGGGTTGGTTTAGCTGCAGAAAGTGGGTTTTCCTGTACAGTGTTAGGGTATTACACAGCCACTTACCACAGCACTTTGAAAGTACAGTTGATTCTCTTTAGTCATTGTTGTTATAATTCTATAAATAACTCTATTGGGCTGGCCGGTTAGCTCACTTGATTGGAGCACAGTATTTTTTTTTTTTTGGTTATGAATATTTATGAGATACAAAGCTGGTTGTCACCCCTCGTGCCTAAGATGTGAAGGTCAGATCCATACTGGCAGCTTACCCATTACCACAAACTGCGTTTGTACCCCGTGACCCCACCCAGTTATCCCCAACCTCCCTCCACCTCTCCGTTTCCCCCCAACCCCATTTTGTATCCCAAGGTATGTTCTCTCCCTCTGCAAGTCCAACATGCCACTGTGGTCTTTCTTTCCTTCCTTCCTTCTCTCTTAGCTCCCACATATGAGTGAGAACATGCAGTATTTATTCCTCTGTGCTTTGCTTATTTCACTCAGCATAAGTTTCTCCAGGTTCCTTCATGTTGTTGAATACTTGATAATTTGGTATTTGCAGTGGCTTTATAGAGTTATATGCTGTTACAGTATTGATAACACCAAGGTCAAGGGTTCTGATCCTCCTACCAACCAACAGCCAGAAAAGAAAAAAAAAAAAGAACTCCATAAAGTCACTGCAAACACTGAATTACCAAATACTCAACAATTGTTCCTAGGGGAAATATGTATGTATATACACAGATTATAATCTTAAATTCTCACGTAGATTATAATCTTAAATTCTAAAAGCAACTCATCCTGTGGATTCTATTTCTTTATTTTACAAAAGAGAAAATGAGGTTCTGAAGTGTTAAGTGATTTTCCTAAGGCCACCCCACTAACAAGAGCCAGTTTTGTTTGAAGACCCAAAACTATGAAGAAAACATAGGGAAAATGCTACACAAAATGGGAGTGGGCAGAGCTTTTTTGAGCAAGACTACAAAGGCACAGATAAAGCAAAAATACACAAATGGGACTACATCAAACTAAAATTTCTGCACAGGAACAGACCCAAAGTGAGGAGACAACCTGCAGAATGGGAGAAAGTGTTTGCCAACTACACATCAGACAAGGGGCTAATATCCAGAATGCATAATGGACTTAAATGACTCAACAGCAAAACAACAAACAACTCAATTAAAAAATGGGCAGAGGAACTAAACAGACATTTCTCAATACAAGATACACAAATGACCAACAAGCACATGAAAAAATGCTCAAAATCACAAAATGTCAGGGAAGTGCAAATTAAAACCACAATGAGGTTTCATCTCACTTGTTAGAATGGCTTATTGTCAACTAGACAGAAAATAACAAATGCTGGCGAGGATGCAGAGAAAAAGGAACTCTCCTACATTGCTGGCTGGAATGTAAATTGGTAGAGGCACTGTGGAAAATGGTATGGAGGTTCCTCAGAGAAGTAAAAATAGATCTAACTTATGACCCAGCTATCTTAGGACTGGGTATATGCCCAAAGGAAATGAAATCAGTGTAGCCGAAAGACACCTGCTGTCCCATGTTCATCACAGCACTATGCACGATGGCCAAGAGATGGAATGAACCTAAATGTCCATCAGTGG